GTCGCTAGAAGGAGAGGATAAATTTTTCGTCCGTTGATCAATCCATGTGGGATGCGGCACGCATTCTACTTCCATTCAGAATCGTAGTGGCTTATTGAATGCGATGTGGCCTATACAATGACTTGCGGGGGCCAGCCGATGTACAGTCAGTGTCTTGTCCTTGCCAGGCAAATCTGGTACCAATTTACCGTCCCCGGGGGTAGGGCTCAGTTGGCTTGGGCGGGAGTTGTTCCGGAACTTAAAGCCAGGACAGCGCGAATGGTAAGCGTGCCACTTGTCACTTCACTAACACACATTCCTCACGTGTGTCGTTCGAAGTACACAAAACATCGTCTGTGGAATGCTCATCACACTTTTTTGTGCTTTTTTTCCAAGAGTCGCACTACCCCTGAGAAAATAAAGAAACGGGCATCTGACCGACGGAAATTGTGAGCTTTGTGATGTGACCATGTTCACACTCCATATCCCGAAAATGAGGAGGGCGTGGTTACGTACTTTAATTGAACATGGCGTAGGATGCGCTTTTCGTGAGATATTTTCAATTGGACAGCTGTCATCTTGCCTTGTGCTGGATGGACATGTGATCACATTCGTCGCAAAACGACTGTACCCACCAACACCGCAACCGCCGCTACATTTATGATGTACGCTGCCACGCCGTCTCTATCTACGGTATATGGAGTATTCTCAGTCTATCTTAAAAAGTTCCTCTAAACCAAGTGCGATCCTCTAATTCTTTTCCCATGTGGATACGAGCACCTCAACATGGTGGGTAATCAATTAGGTACGACGTGCTCCGACCGTAATCGGCATTAGTGAACGAATAAGGGATACTCATGTTTTCTTCTGGTTATACTAGGTCAGTAAAGTATTTATTGCGGATGTTCATCTAGCAGTCAAAGCAGAGCATCAGGCATTGCACGCCCCTTGACGTACATTGCAGCTAGGACAGATCGCGTTGATTCGATATATATCCTTCAGGGAAAGCAGTGGATTCCCGCAAATCTGGATCACTTTGGAATTCTTGCAAAGTCGCATATGCTTGGAAACCTTGACATTCCTTAGTAAAGGATTGTTCCTCACATTGAGAGCTTTCTTGCCTGAAATTTTTGATTGATAGGAAAGTTTACGGCTGTGTCGTTGGACGGAGGCTTTCCTTGACTTACCTTTCTTGCATGGTTTCAGATGTCGCAGGTGTGGACAGTGTATTGATTGAAATAGCGAGTTAGAAACGTTGATACAGATTTCCATATAGACAGCTCTTGAACACAGTGCATTTATTTGCCATTCGCTCACAGATCTACTGTCTAGTGCCAGCATGTATCCTTTGGCCGGTTTAATGATCTTCTTCCCGGCACAAGCAGCAATCAGTTGATTAGTGGTGTAGTCTCGTTTCCTGAGACCGCATCCTGAAATTGGTTTACGGGCTTTTTAACTGGCAGTCAATCCCTACAATCCTACGAGATTTCTTTCTTGTACATGCTGAGTTTAGCCGCTAATTTTTCCTCATTAGTACCTAGAAATGGGTAGCACGCCTGAGCATGGCAGCTAGACTCGTAAGCTCCTGTGGCGTGGTCCCTCCGCCTCCCTCGCACGCTTTTCGTTCTTCATGTTCATGGATCATGTTATCTCTTAGCGAAAAGTTCCTAGTCAGATGTTGTCCAAGGATAGGTTTTAATAGAAGAATCCCGGCGAATTACGAAAAGTGGGGCATTAGAAATATAGTAGTGTGTATTACTTCCTGGTTGCGAGCTCCGCTGTGCGGGACCTCAACACACTACAGGCATGCTCAACTTTCGGCAGGTGTTTCTGTTCTCCATGGGCTTTTTTTGCGATCTCTAAAGTATAATATCTCGAGAATCGTGTATTATTGAATTTCATGGGAACCTCGCGCATCTCAGTCACGGCTGGCGTGTGTTCCCTAATTTGTCTGTCAATCCCTTGCTCCTTGCATCCTCACTTTATTTTTCCCTATCTTGGAGCTACTCTGGAGCCGAATTATGAACTTTCTCAGTAACACCGCTAACCTTCGGCACATGCTCCACCCTCCGTGCACGGGGCTTAGCATGGTTAGGTGTGCTGCTTGCGTCTTGTCCCTATCCTCCCTATTCCAACCTTGATCTGGCCTCTTCAATTCTCGAGTTTCTCTGCTTCGTCTCCCTAAAGGAGGCTTCATTTTTCCCTCCAGAGTCTCTTTCCAAGGACATTAGGAGCTACCTACGAGGGCCATCCAAAGTCGCGAAGTCCGTCCGGAGCGTCAGCACTGAATTTTCTTCGCCCACCAGGATTATCTGAATAGAAAAGGTGCCAAAGATTTTGCCCGTTTTAAGTTGGCAGTTTCCCCCCAGACTCCACCATAAGTTCATGATGTTGTACTATTAGGCTAGAAACGAAGTCCTGTCTGTTTTTCAAATATCTTACAGCTTTTTATTCTTGATGCTGAACATGACGTAGTATGCTATATGTGAGGGCATTCTAGAAGCTTCCCCGCAAGAGGTAGTAAAGGCGCCTGGTCCTCTCTGGCTTTAATTACGATGTCAGTTTCACAGGAGCAGTTTCGAGTCATCATCTTCTATGAGTGGCGCCGCGGCACTGGAGCGACGGCAGCTATCCGCCAACATCAACAGTGCATTGGATGAGGACATCACTCCACCAGGACCGTCCGCAGCTGGTCCGCTCGCTTTGCGAAAAGTGACTCAATGCTCGAAGATAAGCCTTGGTCGGAACGCGCCAACGAAGTGGAAGACTCCACCATTCTCGAAGCTGTCAAGGAGCAGTAGTGGCTGACAATGGTAATTATACTATGGATGAATTTCAATTGAATGATGAGTGAGTAAAGAAGAAAAAAAAACACAAGACAGGACTTTATTTCTAACTTAAGGTTTTCATGGACAAACACAGGTCTGCCATCTCGTCCTAAGCAATTAACGTGGAAGCACACCTCACTTTAGTTAATGAAGCACACTCAGTCGAATGGTGAGCCCCCAAAACGGTCCAGCAGCGCGGTCAACTATACTTTCACTTCTATTTCACGCCAGCGACTCTCGCACGGCTGACCATCGCCAGCGCGCTTCCTTTTGAGACTACAGCACGGCTATTGTCGAGCTGGGCACGGCTTCACGTTCGCGCTTACCTTCTTCCAAAATTGTCTAGCCGGCTAATATCAGCATTTTCTTTTACACTCGACAGGATATATATATTGCAAGTAGCATCATACTGTACTATTCACACGTATTACGGAATGTACGGAGTGTGCGTAAGGAGCGTTGATGAAAGTGGAACAGATGAGAGAGAAGTTCGAGGTGTTCATGCTCCTAAGCATTTTTTTTTATTTGAAAAAAAAATTCATTACGCAACGCAGTAGAGCTTGTGGCAGCCACGCTACAAAGCCGGCGCCGTCATCACTATAGAGCGTCTGGAGTGCCTGGAGTGCTCTGGAACGTTTGAGCAGAATTGTTTAAGGCCTTGCCCGCGCTCACACTTGACGCACGGCTTACCACACCAACAGGTATGGCCTTACACTTGTGAACCGGTGACCCCTCGCTGACCTTAAACTACTTTTTCCCGGTGTCTGGCGTGCTTTGGAACCGTTTTGCGAATTTTTTTGATTTGCCTCCACCACCTCTGCCGGCACGCGCGCCCACCAAATCATATGCGCTCGCGCTTTCTCAATTAACTTAACCCCTCGCGCACCGATCTACAACTACTTTTTAGCAGTGTCTGGAAGTGACTTGAACCATTTTTATTTCGAATTTGGCTATACCTACATTGGCTCGCAGGCTCGAGCACAACGGGAGTGCCTTAGCACATTATTACAGTGTTTGTTCCGTTAGGGGACCATAAACCACTTTTTGGCGACATCGCTGCAGCTGCATTCCAGGCGAACAAATACGACTTCTTTTTACCGTTCTCGTGCTCAAAACGCACGCCCCGCCACTAATAGACGGCCTCAGCCACGCCCGTAAACATGAGTGGACTCTTGCACGTCAATCTTCGTACATGGGCCCTTTTTTTTGCGATTCCTAAACATTTTCGGGGACCGAGTTACCGACCTTTGTGGGAAGCGCCGCCCATCTCAAGTACGCCCCGCCCATTTCGGGTGTCTCTCCTCCATTTGGTGTGCCAACCCAGTGCTAACCTAATTCCACTTTTTCCAGTCTCCGAGCTGCTTTGTAGCCAAGTTATGGTGATTTTTCAGTGACACGGGAAGCGCCGCCCATCTCAAGTACGCCCCGCCCATTTCGAGTGTGTCTCCTCTGTTTGGTCGGTCAGGCCTTTGTTAACTTTACTGCACTGTTTCCTCATCTCGGGACTGCTCTGGAACCGAGTTATGACTTTTTCAGTGACATCGCTAACTTTTGACGCACGCCCCGCCCACTGTGGGCGGGGCTTACCATGGGTCATGGGTGCTATTTAGGTTTTGTCCCATGCTCTACCCATCCCCACCATGACCCGACCTCTCCAAGTTCTTCTTCAGGTGCTATGAATTTCGTGACAAACAGACAGACAGACAGACACACATACGGACATAGCCGATTATATTAGAAGGATGACTTCTGCGTCGAATCATGGCTGAGTCCGCCTCCGAGGTGCGCGATCGCGGCTGGGACACAAGTATCATCCAAGGATGGAGGGAACTAAAAAAAACGGACCGCTAGCTGTACTGGGAATCCTATAGAGATCCGGTGTCGATTTGCGGAAACGGAGTGGCTGTGATAATATCTCTCGACGGCTACATAAGACAATTAGTGCCTTATCAGCCAGTCCATTAGGTTACGGAGTTGCAAAGGTTGGAGGTGTGTGTGTGCGAAGGAATTGAAGTATGTGCCGGAAAAGTAGGTATTTACGTTTGTGGACGCTCGATTAAAAGCAGTGAGTTCGAAGATGAGTGGAACCTAGCCTGCCGTTTATCGCATTACTTGGCGATTCAGCAGCATCTATCGTTTGTGTCAAAGTGTCGAGTTCTCTGCTCGCGATCGATTTTGATCCTTTTTTCCAAATCAAGCATCCACTGGTAGTAAGTGTGAGTAAGGCCTCCATCGACAAAGACTATTTCGATACCAATTAGTTAGGAAGCAATATTTTTGTTGAGATTTCTCACCGAGATTGGCCGTAATCCTGCACTGCGGACAGAGTCGTTTAAGAGGCCTAAGGACAGCAGGGCGTAGGAGTGGATTTTCCCCAATTTCGAGAATAGGTTCTCCTGTCGGATACAAAAACCTTGTAGGAATTCGAAGTTTCCTGAAGTACATATTGTCAACGATTCGTATTGCTGGTCGACCTGAAAAAACAGCATTTTTCCATCTAGTAGCAACCTGGCAATGAAATTATTTACCTGGCTTGCAGGACTTTAGCTCCCTCAGGTGTGGACAGCGTAATGATCTATAGCGTGATCTTGTGATATCGATACAAATCTCCATATATATAGCTCGTGAGCATAGAGCATTCATTTTCCGTTCACTAGTATGCGCCGAAGTGAGCGCCAACATGTATCCTTCCGCAGGACGGATGATTCGTTTGCCAGCACAAGCAGCGATCAGTTGTCTGCTTGTGTAATCGTGTCTATGCAAGTTACAGGCTAGAAAGAAAAAGCTATATAGTGTAGTTCGCTGCGGACGGTTGGGCGTGTCAGGCGGGATGAGTTTGGCGCGGTGCCAAACCCGTTCTCCACCAGTTGTTAAAGCGAGCAAGTGATATGACTGTATCATATCGTTCGTATTACTCGTTTTCTACCACTTTTTGTCGCTTCAACAAGAAGGCAGAGAACGGCTTTGACGGGGTGACACACTCATACTGCCTGACAACCGTCCGCAGCGAACTAGAGTGTACTTGCGCCAGCCACATTCACTGAGTTTGGCCGTTTTCCAGAAACAATGATAGCATGGGAACTGAAGCAATGTTCTCATGCGTAATGAGAAAATATTGACAACTTAGGAGAGTTATTCCTTTTTTTGCTTCCGCTAAGGCATTACGAGGCTAATTGAGTCAATTTTCTGATATAAGTCTACAGATACGGAGCTGGTGAATAGCTGTTTGAACCTGAACAAAAGGAGTGCGCTCTGCCTGGTTGATACCTTCGAAACCTACATGGGATTATACTTTAGAAATTAAGGCACGCTTCTAGCTCATCTGATGTTCGGACGTCTTCTTTGGACATGGTAACCCAGCCAGAAAACATGGAGGAGGCTAATTTCGCAGCTCAACCATACAAGAACAAACGACGAGGCCGCAGACCCGCCAAGCTCTCGTTTTCAACTGCTACATGATGTTGCGGTTGTTCCACTGCTAAGTTTCTCCTTTTCAAATGAGAGAGATTATAGGAAGGAGCTGATACCAGCAAGTAATAACTCGTCCTACCACGCCCCTTCCTTCGCATTGTGCACGTGCGAGCGCGGTTGAGCATCGACTCGATATGGGGCGTTTGTTCGGGTTTTTGGTGCTTCTTTCTTCTTTTTTGTATATTTTCCATCTTGTCAAAAGTTCTCGAGCTGCACAAATCACTATTCTTGAACGCTGGACGTGCTCCCAAATACTCTTCCTTGTGGTATTGCCAGGGAATTACTTGTGCGACCGCAGTGACGCACATACAGCAACGTCGTTCGCTACCACCTTTCTACCCTAGGAGAGGAACGGTTCGAAAAAAAGCCTACCTAAATCAAGTGTTATAATGCAGCGTTTACACCTTCGTTTAAGCCATCCTAGTAGTGTTATGGATAGATGAGGATTCTCTTTAATTTCGAAAACGATCGCATCTGGAGGGAATCGCAGATATGCTGGAACGTAGAGGTGTCTAAGTGGGATATTACCCACAATTTTTATAGCTGGTCTCCCTGAAAGAAGTGGCTTATTCAGCGGTAAAGTTTTGTCAAACCAACGAGTAATTTTTTACCTGGAAGGCACGGTCGTATTTCTCGGAGTCGTGGGAAGGATAATGCCTTGTAGTCTGAGTCCATTACGGTTATACAAATCTCCAAGATGACAGCTTTCGAAAACAATTTGTTCATCTCTTTTTGAGGGATTTCCGATGACGACACCATTAGTGGGAATCCTCTGTATGGTTTGATGATTTGAGCACCGGAACAACGTCGAACTAGTTCCTTGGCACTGTAGTGACGTGGTTGCAAGTTACATCGACGTAATGCTGGAATCGACAAAGAAATTTTGGTGCTGATGACGGTGAATATTCCTAAACAGCTGAGGAAAGCAAAGTTTGTATGGTATAGTAGGATGTAAGAACCAACCTCCTACATGTGAAGAGTTAGGAGGGGGTGCTAATTCACGATAGATATAGACTAAACTATGTAAATACTACGCGCGTAGTAATTCACTAATAGGATTTTAATATGGGAATCATCACTGTCGTGAATAGCAAGCTAAAAAGGAGGACGTATATCAGCGCGTTTCACGATTTCGCCCTTTTCTTCTAGCTAGTAGGTCAACTTCAAGCAACTATTAGGTTGTTGCATAAGTTCTTTCCCCCGACTTTTTTGTAAATATCTCAATAGCGAACCAGCCTGAAGATTAGAGGTATGCACCATCACCATCCACTAC